GTACAGGTGAGCATGAAGGATGGACGATCTTCGGGGATTTTAGATTGGGAACACAACAAAACACTAACACTCAGGGATTTGGGAATAGTCAGACACCTGCTAATATTGATGATTCGTATTTAGATCGAATCAATGAATTGTTAAACGAATTCAATCAATGGCACCAGCGTGACCAAAAAAAACAATAACGTCATCTATCATTTCATTTTTAGATCATATGTTACTAATTTTATGCTTTATTGTAGTCCATATATGCTGATATACTTATTCCATGATAATTATATATTCATCCTTTTGTGTGATGTAAATTAAATGCTGAATGGCGGTTCATGCAGGGAAAGAACATATCAATATTCGCATATTCATTCAAAAACATGACAATTCTTAATGGAGTACCCTAATTTCTTATTGAATTCCTAAAAAACAATATTTATAATGAATTTTAATAATTTTTTTGGATTTTTTTTAAGCTTCATTCTGCCCGATTCACCCGATTCCCGATCCGGATCGCCGATTCGCCGATCCGGATCGGTTTTTTGAAAACCCGATCCGGGTCACCGATTCGTTTTTTAAACCATTGGTTTTGACGGTACAAAAGTTTGAGCAGTTCCAATTTCAGGGAGATTCAAGAGATCAAGTTCACATCTTAAAAAGAAAATCAATACACTTTGGCCTAAAATCTTACATTGATCCAGTTGCAACCAAGATAAGCAAGAAAGATAGCATAACAAGTTATAATTTTTAAGAAATTTATCAATTTATCCATGAGGTATGAACAATTTAACACTTTATCCGTATGTTTTAATTTAATTTCAAAATACCCAAAGGAAAACACACTTTTAAGTTGGAATAGTTCCAAATGGGTAAGATGTTGAAAAGTTAATATCTAATGCCTATTTCTTTTTTAAAATCTGCAACTATACCGATTGAATAAAGAGTACAATATACAAACTGAAGGGTAACACAGGAAGTTGTGAACTCCCTGTAATCCCAAAAAAACTGAATGGAAAGAGTTAGATAAATAATTAAAAGCACTTTATATCTTTTGAAAACATATGTGAAGAATTTGTGTGTAGTGATTAAAAATCCCATGACCTCTATGAATGCAACACACACTCACTGTGGTATAGGGAAATCAGGAAACCATGGTATTATTATTAGCAAATACAAGGCTGATAGATTCTCTAGAAAGAGACACAATTCCTTATTATAGTTATAGCCTAAGAAAAACTATACGAAAATAACATTAACATCCTAACATTTACATTCAAGGCAATCCTTGAAAAACGTGAGAAGATACTTCATAAAGTCGCAAATGGGAACAAAGCATAAGTTCTTAGGCTATAATAGATACAATCAATAAGCGGAAATCCTAAAATTTAGGTGCAAATCAATCCTTGAAAAACGTGAGAAGATACTTCATAAAGTCACAAATGGGAACAAAGCATAAGTTCTAAGGCTACAATAGATACAATCAATAAGCGAAAACTTGGTAAAGCCCCAAAAAATATGGGATTATCAGGCCTAATATTTTCTGATACAAGACTGACAACCTAGGAGAGCGAAAAACGAGAACCATATTGCTATTACAAACTAATATACATCTAAGTTACATCAAGTTCTAATATTTACATTCAAATTAATCCTTGCGGGAAGGCAAACTCCAAGCGTCTGCTCTTCCAAACAGCGATTTTCACATACAAGTTTAAGAACTGTATGATCTGAGAAATCATTGCTCTCATGGAGTTCCATTAAGCTCTTTCCAAGAACCTGCTCTACCCACTTTTCAAATTCTTTGCTCTCATCTGATAACCACACAGCCCGAAGTATCTGCTCCATGACCCTCAAATCAATCTCCATGAAAACTTTAGCTCCTACTATCATTCGAAATATTTCACTTATTTTCTCTAATATTTCATTAGCAAGCCCATCAAAATCAAAAGGCCTTAAAACCACCACCTCATCTACTGAATCAAGAAACTCATCAATCCAAGTATCTGAATTTTCAACCAAAGAACCAGTCTCATCATCCCCATGTTCAGTTTCATGGCTTGTCTCAATCTCCTCAGCAGAGAGATTCAAATCGAAGCCCAAAACTGAAGACCTTGGAGATTTTTTGGGACTATCCAATGACGCATCATTCTCTGTCTGGCCACGCGATTTGCGTTTAGCTGGACTATCACATTTATTCCAAGATTCACTTGATTCTCTGAAATTTCTAACCACTAACCTTTTTGCATGGTCCACTAAAATACCAAAAGAATGGTCCACTTGATTCTTAGAAGAGTGATCCAACAAAATCTCCATTTCCCATTGTTGGGCTGCTACAATTCTCTCCTCCGAGAATTTGAACATTTCTTTCCCATTCATGAAAGCCTTACCCTTTGCTGCCTTGGCAGTTGTCACAAATATCGCATTATTGATGCTGAATTCTCTCCTATGAGAATTCGAAAGTTTACCAGTCCTTATTGCTTGGCATAATCCACTTTGGACCATCATATCTGCCTTATCAACATTCTCCAGAAAGACGACTGATAAGGGTTTCTTGCTAATCTCTTCAGTGATATGATCCAATACAGTCTTCCCTCTAAACCTCATATCATACCCACTAATCTCTAAGGAGCTCAAATCTACACTAATCAAGCTATTTTCATTGCCAAATATGATCTCGGCGAGAGCTTTTGCGATCCTTTTCTTTCCAACATGGTCTGAACCCAACAAAGTGAGCCATACGTCTCCTCTCAAGCATGCCCCACGACGCCTTTGATTGCCTGTTCGGGATTGGACCACTGAACGACTAACTGCAAGCACAGCCTTATCTTGCCTTCCAACTTTTTCTAATAGGGCACTGTATACTTCTTTATAGCAGTTTACATCAAGGTTTGCAGGCTTATCGGAGGTTTTCAAAGGCAAACTTGGCTGACTAGATGTCTTCCAACGAAAAACTGGCTGATCAGAGGTCCTCAAATGCACAACTGGGTTCGTGGGTGCATGTCCATGACTCATGCTTGTCATGGATGGAATGCAATCAGAGGTGTCCTTTATGCGCTCGTTATGGGCAATCATGACATGCTTTAAGCCATCATCATCATTGCCATCATCACGAGGAATATACATTCTTCCCAATGCTAAATCAGTGGTGACTGAATTCACAGATGATGACGATGCACATCTTTCAGGGTTACCCAAGTTGGTATGGGATGAAAAATTCCAGGGTTGATGCCCTTCCAGTCCTATATTTGACTTAGATGATGTATAATTGCCTTCCATTGGCGATGTCATTGAGATATTTTGCATAGAAATTCCCTGCAAATCTTGTGATATCTCTAACCCACTGGAGTTTATGCCTCCTGTGGTGTTAGTGGTAATACTGCTATTAACTTGCTCCTTAGGTTCCTTGACCGGCTTGCTAGAGTTATCGAGCTTGGTTATCTGGGTACCACTATGAAGATGATAGCATACTTCATTCCATTTTCTTTGTAGGCCCTTAACTTTAACATCTAACATTGCATGATCATCTTTGGCCTGCACTGAAATAATGCAAGACGTGTTTCGCATAAATATTGACAAATTATGGCATGTTAAAGTTGTCACCTCTGAACATTAATTTGAGAAAATAAGGACAATACCTGGAAAACCTGCAAAGAGTACACTGTGATCCAAAAACTTGAAATATCAATACAGGGCTTCGACATTGTCATTTCTTAATATGACTAATTTACCCTTGATCTGGTGCTTAAAATACCAGAGAAGTGAGCGCAACAACGTAAAATAAACAGGGTGTACAACTGTAACAGTCATTTAAAATATAGATGAGTCCCGGTACTGTCCATATTTCAAGTTTTTGAACCACCTATATGATCTATGCAGGTGTTCCAAGTACTGTCTAATATTTCACCATAACTTTTGAGCTCTCACAATGCCGAAAATAGTAATGATAGTTGGCCATTACTAGCTTCCTTAAAAATCACAAAATCTGGATCATGGTTCTTGTTGCCAATATCCAGTGCCATAAGGTATACGGCACTCGAAAAAAGGCATCCACCATTAAGTATTACTGAAATGCAGCCCACGAGGACGCTTCCTCATGTACAGTTAATCTACAGCGTCTGTCATTAAAACGAATGGTGGATGATCCTTTCGTGTCCCATATACCATACTCCATTGTATTACATAGTACAATGCAAGGAAGAAAAGTAGGCAGTTTTCAACAATGTGACACACCTGTAGGAAGTTAGCTCTTTGTAGCCACGGTGGAAAGCTAGGGTGGGCCTGATCAGGCAGTGAACTAGAGCATGTCGTGGATATAGCTGCAACTTCTTGTTCGCACTTCTCATTACACTGTTGACAACGAACAGTGGTTTGGTTTGTCGCACCAACAGAAGAACCCCTTAAGTCAGATGCTGTTGCAAATAATCCACCAAAGGGAACAAACGACTCCATCAAGCTGTAATTAGGTCATTACCACAAACAAATGTATGAGATCCAATTAACGCACTCAAATCCAAGGCCACATTTTAGTAAGAGAAAACTGAGCAAGGATCCAAGGAAAAATGACAAAAAAATGATATTACCCCAATAAGCTTAAGAAATGGATACATATCTAGTAAGGAAATGAAATTAGTTCAGAGCCTATATAGAACATTTTCAGTGCATGTAACAAGAGAACGAAAGTATCACTTTCTCAGATTGCAATTATGGCCGCTCTTCCGGTTGCTTCTGCAAGCTAAGGTACCAGTTGGCATTTTCTTTCACTCAAAATGAGATAAGCATGACCAAGGAATATGAGGTTGCCACCAGGATTTTCTTTTTCTTTCAGTTAAACCCCACTTAGGAAATGTGAACCCAACCAGTAGCATTTTCCTATTTTCATTTCTTTTTTTAATCCAGTCGGTTTGGCTGAAACTTTGTGGGTATTTTGGCCACCAGGAGGTGAAATGGATTTGGAGAGAGCATATGATCATGTCAAGTAGCAGGATTTGGTTTATATGTTGTGGTAGGTTGGCAGATATGTGAGTACTAGTCCACAGCCTGTACGATGCAAGGCAAGTATCTTGTGTACGTCAAGTTAGGACTTTTTATATATACATCTTACAAAGATAAGCTACAGATTGTAATGATAGAAAGCACACATTTGCAAAACCTTATTTTGAATAAAAAATTATAAAAAAATTAAAACCGCCTTTGAAAATAAAGAATTAACAGATCCAAAAAAATAGAATAATTTTCTTCCTATGTATGCAAGTAAACCTTATTTGTTACTTGACTGTGTAATATAAATTATATTTCGACTTTTTTGTAAATTAGCATATGTTTCTTTTGATAGTAATAATTTGTGAATAAAAAAAAATTGAAATTAAGAAAGTGCCACAAACCCTACTTTTATTTGAAGATGGAAAAATAAGGAAGTCCAGAAAATTTGGAATTTATCTTTATCCTATTAGTGCAAGGGATAGTGAGAAAAATCTATTGTTGTTAAAATCAAACAGTGTGGATGGTCACTATTGCTTGGTGATGATTGGCACTTATACATCCAAAGAAATTAAGTACATGCAGTAAAGATATACTAGAAAGGGAAGAAGTACTATTGCGAGATCATTTGCCATTTTAGCTTCTCACTTTTTCTTTTTTTCACGTTCTGTACTTCATATTACCTTTCCCTAAATGCTTTGACCTTTTAATGGAAACATCTTTCACAGAAAAAATGCCCTCCAAGGCCAAATAACCAACCATAAACCACCATTTAGTGCCGGGATGGAAGGGTTGTTGAATGAAAGATACCCCCAGCTAATTTTTAATCAAAGGTTTTCATATGCCTACAAACTCTAGGTGTTCCCCCTACTTTCACCTACAATGGACAGTCAAGCACGACATGCGTCACGGACATATTTTCAACAAAAATAAATAAATTTGTTCTATATTTCAATTCCAATTGTAGGTTGTCATGAATATGATTGCGTTTCTACCACAAACTAAATTAATCCAATTTGATATAATATTGCTTTGCTCTCATACAAAATGACGAAACATACACAATAAAGAACTACAGAAAGCACAACATGCATACAAGAAAAGAGAAGCATAGAAGAACAAATGCTACATAGTCCATTCTTATCATAAGTGGACCCGAAAATAGTAATTATGCCTATAACCAACTTGCTTGCTCAAAGATGTGTGGTTACAGATAAAAGGAAATTTTTACATCGAGTATTATATTCTTTTGAATGATAAAATGGCAATAAATAGATGCATGGCTGTAAAAGGGCCCACTTGTATTACATATCGTAAATTTGTAAATGACATTTAGACAATTTAATAAGAATAAATAAAAATTGCATTATGTTTTTATTGGTTACAAAGATAAAGGATTATGTATTTATGTTACCTCACAATAATAAACGTATAACCCCTTTAAGATCGTTACCACAATAAAACCATTATGTGAGCCTGTGAACTTTAGCAGCAATTGATTCACCTTGAAATAAAATTAAGGGAAAATTTCATTCGTAACCCTAATTTCCCATCGTATTTCATGGTAGACCCTATTGCTTTTTTACTTTCAAGCGGCATAAGAAAACCCCTAACGATTTCAACGTGCCCCCCATCTCTTATCTCCTTGTTTTATTCACTTTTGAATATATAAATTAGCCCCAACAAACTATTTTATATCACCTGAACCTAAAAACCTTTTTTACCATGTTTTTGCCCTTTTCAACCGATCAGATCTCCCACTCTCTCATTTCACCACAGTGAGCTCTCTCTCTCCACTATGGCAAGGGCTCTCTCTCTCAATTCACCCACTATGCTAACCCTAATGACCTTCTCACCTCTCTCCCTCTCACGGTAAGTCTCTCTCTCCCTAAATTTACAGCAGCTTCATCTCTCTAAATCTCTTTATCTCTCTAATGGCCAACCCCCAAACTCTTAAATCTTTCTTCGTCTAACGCAGTATGACCTATATTCCTCTCTCTAACCTTGTGTTTAAAGAGATAAAGGAACCGGCTGCAAAATTTAGATAGAGACTTATATGTAAGAGGGGGTGAGAGAGAGACCAATATGAGAGCGAGAGAGAGAAAGAGTCCTCAACGTGGTGAATTGAGAAAGTGGGAGATATAATGCATTAAGGGGATGAAAAGGGGAAAAACATAATAAAAACAAGTTTTTGAATATGGTGAATTGGGAGTAGGAGATATAATGGGGTTGAAAGGGAAAAAATGATAAAAATAATTTTTGGTTTGAGGTGGTATAAAATGGTATATTGGGGCTAACTTTTATATTCAAAAATCAATAAAAGGGGAGATAAGAGATGAAGGGGTACGTTGAAATCCTTAGGGGTTTCTTTATGCCGCTTGAAAGGAAAAAAGGAGGAGGGTTTACCGTGAAATGCGATGGGCAATTAGGAATCCATACGAAATTTTCCCTAAAATTAAAGCAACTGAACTGCACCTGATCAAATTTTGTCGACACATTTTGATCACAACTTATTATCCAAATAAAGAAAAAACACATCTTGATAATGGCCTCAAAATCAACAATGTCATATTCTCATAGAAGTGGAGTTGTTGTCACTGCTGAGTGCATCTGTAGACGGACTTCCCTCCACTTGGTTAGTGCCACTGGTCATTGCTCATCTTCATCCATGCATGCCCCTTCAGCCCTATGCCAAACCAACTCAAGCACTCTAAAAGCCTGGAGCCTGAATCTCCAGACTACAATCATCACTCATGCTTATTAGCCATTCCTTATCTAGATAAATGGGATTATAGTTGCTGGCCCTTGTCAAATTTTGGTCATCTCAAGTGACAATCATTTATTCACATTGCTAAGCAATTATTAATCTTCCACTAAACTTCATCCAATTTTCTCCAACAACCACCATGACACAAGGTACTATAGCCCTATATAGAGATGCATATAGCATCAATGGTTTGTAGGAAATTTAAGTCCCTATGTACTTCATGCAGTGCGGCTAAATACAAATCATATAGTATCCAACAATAAGACTGAACAAATATTTGTCATAAAAAAGGAAAAAGCAACACCAAATCTATGGAAAGCATGTCACCTCAGCTACATTTTGGTCTGGATTGGATACACCAAATCCATTCAAAAGTCTATCGTTGCATCCCAAAACTTTAGGGCCTACCATATTACATAAAGGGTACGGTTTGTATAGAGCCGAGGCTCTAAACAGTCAAAGTAAAGTGCACCTCCAAATAGTGTCAAGAAATGTGATTTCAATGCTGGAAATCATGGTGATAACCTTAAAATATATTTTCATCTTGAATTATAAAATTTAAAGCTTAAAAAATAGTGTAGATCGAGCACATCTATGAAAACTTGAAAATCTTCAAAATTGACGGTACAAAAATACATTACAAGATGCACTATTTTCAAAACTTGACATCCTTTTTTTTTCTCATGCTCGTGCATCTTGATGTCGAGATGATTTAAGATATTTGGGCATCAAAACAACCTCTTCTAGTGAAATGTTTGAGGTGGGGTCTAATTTGATTCTTTAGAGCCTCAGCTCTATATAAACTTTTTCCTTACATAAATTACTTAAAATTTAAGAAATCTAAAGACCTCTCTTTAAGAGATCCTAAACTTAAAATATATGAAATTAAGTCTCAAAACTAAAATATAGGAGAGGCAAAAACAATGAATAAGGAATACATCCAGTTGAGCGCCCATAGTTGCAGATTGAGAGGTGCTCTAAAGTCTATCGCAGGCTATCATCCCTGTCCAACATTTGAAGAGCCTTCCTAATAGGCTGAATGGATTTTGACACCAGGCACACTGATAGACTGACCTTCAAAAGGGATGTATCATCACAGTAACACGGAGAAAGCGATAAAAACACGCTCCCTCATCCATCATAATTCAACACCTCAATGGCAGCAGTATAAGCAATGAGGTTTTATTTCCTGAATTGTTGACAAGTGCTCCATAAGTACCAAACCTCTTCTCCACTATTTCATCAGAGAATTAAACAAAGTCTTTACATTCCAAGCAGCATCAAACATATCAACATACCATAAAAACAACGTCATGTATGATACTCATCTAAGAGACACCAATATAACATTAAGGATATAGATCTACACGGCTATGGTACCCTGACTCTACCATTTTACAGTACCATAGAGGCATGGTCGACCATTGCAAGAAAAAATCTTGGGACTTCCCCAATTACATGTATCAGATATTTTAACCCATCTTTTCTACTGATTTATTTGCAATTATATGTGTACAAGAAGGTTCAAACCATAATCCCCCTACTACAACAGAAGGTAACTCAACAAGAGAAGAGGGAAAAGGGGGAGGGGACAGAGAATGTGTCTCCAGGAAACCAGAGAAAGAATTGATAACCCACATTAAACAACAATGGTTCATTTCCATCGTCTAAACCCTTGTCCTGTCAGTTCCACCCCACGAGGCGACTTAAATGGGCCGCAAGAAAAACATGATCCCATACAAATGAACACATAGAAGGAACAACCATTCTGAATTTTTCAGCAACTTCACTATTTTTGCTTAATTTATTTCTTATCCCCTTTATTCCTTTAAATATAAATAGACCATCTTCCAAAACTCATAAGCATATACAAGAAAGGGTGAAGGTGGTATAAAAAATTATTCTTAACAGTAAGAAAAGCACCTAACCTTTGCATGAAGCTCAAGACATGTGCTCAGAGAATTGTTAGCAGTAAGAAAAGCAAGAATTCATATAAGAATCCAGAGACAGAAGATGTTTTCAAATCATCAATAACAAAAAGCATTCACAAAGGAAGAGAACAAGAAAGAAGGTACCTAGACCGAGGCAACGACCCGAAAGGCGACCTTAGGGAGCTGACAGGGAGAGGATGCAAGTCCCAATCCTCCTCCATTGAAGGATAAAATGTCTGGCACTGCAAATAGGCCTCATAAGTAGCCAATCCAACTAAACTTAACCGTCCTGAAGAACCATAAACACCCATCAACTTTGTTAAACCATTGATTCCATGGCTAACAGAGGAAGCATTCGAAAACTGATCGAAGAGCCGCCCCAAATCCCCCAGCCCAAGAATCACGCCGGAACTCGATGACACCACAATTCTCTCCAATTCCTTCACTTTCTCGCCCAATTCCTCTCCCCCCACCTCCTCAAAGGACACGTACTCCATTCCTTTGAGCTCTTTCTCAACGTCTCCTCTCTCCAAACTATCAACAAATTCTTTAACCAACCCATCGCCTGAGCCTGAAACCATCCCAAGAAGAACCGGGTTACGCCTCTTCTTCTTCAAAAATATATCAGCAAGCTTCTCGGGACCTTCAGGTGGGAGCTGGAAGGGGAAGATGGGCCTCCCGCCATGCTCTGGTTCAGATAGGTTGGGTAAAAACAGTGGCGGTCTGCTCTTTCTCGGGAAAAACGAAACAGGGGGCCTTTCGATGGCGAGCTTAATCTCATGACTGAAGAACCCGGCCTCGCTCAGCACCCTGCTCACCACCGGGTCATCGAGGATCGCCAAAATCAGACTCTGCACCTCGACCTTCACCGAACTTATAGGCTGATTCTGCAGCTGAGACTGATTCGGCTGACAGAACGGGTCACAATAAGCGCGACGCTGACTCGCCTGCGACCGCTTGATGGCGGCCACGAGAGAATTCGAGAGCGGAGGGAGCTCCGTGCTGTGGGGGGAGGAGGAGGGGAGGCGGTCGAGGGCGACCGAGAAGCAGAGGTCGAGGGCGCGGTACTGGAGTCGGTAGGCAGAGGTGCGCCGGGAGCGAGAGAGGGCGTCGCGGAGGGGGGAGGAGGGGCGGGAGAGGAGCGCGGAGACGAGGTGAAGGGACGTCGTCTGGGGGTGGGACCGGCGTCGGGCTGACAGCGAAGCGTCGTCGAGTAGCGCGGCGCAGTCGTTGGAGAGGGAGGCGCGGACGGCGCTCAGCGGAGTAGGCATTTGGTGGTGCCGACTGCCAACTGCTGATGAACGCGCGCGCCAATCGGCGGAGGAAGAAGGTGGACGAGGGGCATCGATCTTTGCTTAATTGCGAGTGTTATTAATGTTGAAAGGGCGGAGGTGTTTGGGACCGCATGGTCCTGGTGGGGGGCACATATTCTCCACACCACACGAAATATCTCTCTCTCTCTCTCTCTCTCTCTCTCTCGTCTTTCAGTTCTGTCGTGACCTGAGTGCAACATCTTACTCTCTCTCAATGAACACCGGCAGGATGCGATTCCTCTCAATCAACAGGACTACTTTCTCTCTCTTTTGCTGTTTTAGGTGTTTCTCTCTCCAAACTGGTCCTATCTCCTCCATCTCTGTTGTCCCTCTCGTGTCTCTTTCCCCCCCCCCCTGCGCCGGTACAAAAACGAGATGCTGAGTCCACTACCGATCCGTCATCCATCATTACCCCTCCAACCCACCCAAGGGACTCCACACTCTCTCTCTCTCCTCTTTCTCTCTCTTCTTTGTCATGCGATAATGATAAGGTGGGTGGAGTGAAGAATAATCAAAACCACATACGTATCATTCACAATAACCCAACTCCTCTCTCTTTTTCTCTACTCGCTCCTTCAAATGGAAGGTAAGATGTCTCTTCGCCTTATAGCGCCTATTATTGCTGCCCTACCCCCTCTCTCTCCTCTTTCTCTCTCTTTACAAATAATGCCACCACTCCTTTCTCTCTCCCTCACTTTTGGATTCTCTCTCCTCTCTCTTTTTTCACACAAAAAGCCACCACTCCTTTCTCTCTCCCTCACTTTTGGATTCCCCATCTCACCGTACCGGACAATTTGTGCATTTTGTCATGGGCGTATAGAGCCTAGGCTCTAAACAAGAGCCTATCTTCAAAATATCCGAAAAATTTGGTTTCAATATTAGAAATAATTGTGATAGCTTGGAAATATATTTTTATTTTTATTTAAAAAGTTTAAAATTTGAAAAATAATGTTGATCGTCGTATCTATAAAAACTTGAAAATCTTGAAGACTGACTGTTAAAAAATGAGTTACAAAATACAATATTTTCTAAGCTTGAAATCTCTTTTTTTATCGTGTCTATACATCTTGATGTCCAGATGATCAATTTGAAGATATCTGAACATCAAAACAACTTTTTTTTAGTGAAACTTTTGTGGTAGTTTTCAATTTAATTGTTTAGATCCTCGACTCTATATATATACATTTTTCTTTCATCATTTATTAAAATCTCCTTACATTGTCGCCTTTGGCCTTCACCATGAAAACAGTATGCTACATGTAGCACCGCCCCACAAGATGTTGACAGACCGTAGTATGAAGCACGAGCTTCTGGATGGAAAAAGAATTCATCTCAGCTTCAGTTGATGGAATCCGTTGGTCAGGATTACATGCAGCATACTGTTTGTACGATTCATGGTATCTTTTCGGTCCCGTGATCGTAGTGAAGCTTCTAAAACGTGATTCGTAGTTCATGCGCCCCCACACAAAAATATCGTAGTTTTGTTGATTCTCCCTCTTCTTCTACTCTCTCTCTCTCTCTCTCTAAAACTCTCCCTCATCCACACACAAAATATCCGGCCTCATAGGTTCTTTCACCTCTCGATGTTTTCTGTATAGGTCCAAATATATAAACTTATACCAGGAAATAATGAAATGAAAATCGATGTCAATAAACAATTTGTTTAAATCTGTCTTGAAATTGAATGAGGGGCTTAAAGTTTCATTCCAACTTGAAATTACACGAGTGACTAAAATTTCATTCCAAATCCTTTATACTGATTTTACTAAGAGATAAATTTACAACTCCACATTAATGGTATGTGTCAACAATCCATATGAGTTGAGATCTAAGTATATAAAAATAGTCAATAAGAATTAATAAGTTGTCACCAAATTGAAAAACCTAGCTAAACTTATCATTCGTCTAGCTATAATAAGATGTCATTTAAGCATTCCTATACTTTGCTAAAATATATTTAGAACTTAAATGAACTTTGTGTATGTAACATAAAAAAAAACAAAACAAATTTCATAAAGAACGTCATAATCCAAGCACACCACTGGGTTTTTTTTCTGATGATACTAGCTTTTCCTTCTATTGATATATCATATTAATGCTAAAAAATAGATCTAAGTTGACATCGCCTTATTTAACTCTATAGATTTTCACATAAGCTTCGAAACCGAGTTATTATAAAAAATTGTTTTTAAAAAAGATGTCTTACCGCCTGCATTTTCCAACATTTCCTCCTTAAATTTTTTCCCCACTTCAACTTTAGCGCCAGCTAAAGTTTGTATGAAAGACGTTTCACAACAAAATATATTATGCTTGTAATCAGTGTTTAAAAAATCGCCGATCCTGATCAAAACTGATGTGATGCGGGCCCTTTTGTTTATGCTTTAGTTCTCACCAATTTTTATGTCTCATTTTTCATAAACAACTTCAAAAAATTTGGGAGGCTTGTTCAATCCACGTCTGGAGTATTAAAACACTACTAATAATGTATAAAAATAAAATAAAATATTGGAAAAGTATCCCGTCCACAATGCTTGTTTCACAAGGCCATATATAATAGCAAATTTTTTTAACTAAAATCTTATTTTTTTTGTTTTTTATTCACATAAAAATATTTATTTGAATTTTGGAATACAAGTTTATTTTTATAAATAGAACTAATTAAAAATATTGTAGACAAAAAATAATAAAAATATCTCTAAATTTATTTTGATCAATATTTTTTATTGAAAATGTTTCTTTATTATTTTTATTTAATCTTACTTATAACAATAAAGCTAAACCTAAAATTCATATTATTTATAAATAAAAAAATTTCATTTTTGGCCTTAGATATTTTGAACCGCCAGTACACCTTTTAAACGTCCCTAGCATGGAGACGCAATACCAACCCTAAAATATTTTGAGTGGACCTTCTTTAACCTACTCAACTCATTGAGGAGAGAGAAAATGTGCAGGTTAACTTAAAACCCATCGTTCTCGTTTCCTTTTTGCGTTGAGTCCAACACAGTGGGCACACGTGTGAGTGACACGTCCATCCATGGAGCCCTTAAAAGTTGCGGAAAGCGAAAGGCCTCAAAGCACTAACCCCCTTTCCATAAAGAGAGAGAATACATGCAAAGTTTAGAGAGAGAATACATGCAAAGTTTAGAGAGAGAAAGAGAGTTAGAGAGAGAGAGAGAGCAATGCCAGGACAAAGGAAGAGGAATGGTCATGTACAATAGATTAAGATGAAAAAGTTAAGTTAAAAGTGAGTAGATTCCTCCTATAAATAGGGAAGGAAATATATTAATCACAATGGAATTCCACTTTCTGAATCTAATTAGCATTAATATGACCTCATCAAGATCGTATGCATATAATTTATTCTTTTTTAATTTTGTTGTCAGTGTCACTTGATCTTTTTTCAACACCGCCAGCTTTTATGTACTACTATGGGGGAAAGATTATGCAGTCCCGGAGGACCAATGTGTTCATTTGACCCCATATGTCAAAATACCTTCTTAGGGAGACTGGTTGGATGTCCAATCTCTAGAATCCCGTTGCGAGCCATTTTAGATCGATTTAAGGCACGAAAAAGAATTTAAGCTGAAAATTCCTTGAAAGAAAAGTTTCTCTTTCAAAGAATCAATCTGGGCTATCCATTTTCTTTGTGGTAATCACCGTTCGCAAACTTGGGAGTCAATGTTCACGAACTCGGCCAGTCTAACTCGGAACCGACAGGTAAAACCGGAACTGGGCATTGACTGATTCGGTTTTGGTGGTCCAACAAGATATTTTAAGAAAATATATGTGATCAAAAAAACAAGGGATTTGTTTGTAACGTGTTTTTGAATATATTTTTTTTTATCATTTTGATGAAGATTGGAAACTGTTTTGGTTATGAATACTTATTTTTATATTTTTTCATATTTTTTTTAATTTTAAAAATACCCCACAAATTAATTTTTTAAAATCCATTATTTTCACTATTTTTTAACTTCATTTAGATGTGTTCCGTTTAATAATAATTTTAAATATATGTTTCATATTATTTTTTAACTTTTTAGACCTGCAAGGACCTGCCTAGTTAGGCCAGTTTATCGGTTATTCAGACCTGACCTTTGGCTGGTTTTCAAGGCAAGTTCGATCGACCCTTGGCCGGTTTTTGAGGCAGATTCGATTTTTCAAACACCGGTGATAGTCAAACACCGGTGATAGTCATGAAGGGAGCTCTGATATTTAAATTACTTTGTGATTAAGTAGTAAACTATTTTGTGAATAAAAAACTTATTGAGAAACATTTTGGTAAAATACCAATTCCTTGACCATGTGTTTTAGCTGCCAGACCTATTGAACAATTTGATCCCAACGGCCAGCCAAATAGTTGTATTTATTACTTATGCAACACAACTGCCGATTAATTAAAAGAAGAACATAATATTAGTCACCATCTACTTTAAAATCGATCATTGTGATTTGGAGAAATGTTCTAATGACGAAATTTATACATCAAAAGATGGCAAAATTTATGTACTTTTATAGGAAGATTTATGAGAAATGTGCTTCCCTCCACTCTTATTTTGGGAAAAAAACAAGAGATATAACAACTCTCTCTCTCTCTCTCTATCTCCATGTCAATAGCTCCCTCCACTTGAGGGAAGCAAAGACAAACACACTCATAGCTTTATTTGAAAATCATTTAGAGGGCACTATAAAGATTTTGAGAATATAGTTGACTTGACCTCAACACCTCCCCACTATCTCCCTCAATACCTTTACACAAAAAATAAAATAAAAATAGTGACCAAACTACTATCATACCCCTAGTTTTATCTAGTCTCTCCTTCTAGAATTCTTACGGGACTATATCACATCCCACAAAAAATAAAACAAAAGTAGTGACCAAACTACTATCGTACCCCTAGTTTACTCTAGTCTCTCTTTCTAGAATTCTTACGGAATTATATCATATTTCGGAAATAGGATGAATTGAGACGGTATAACAAAGATACAATAATGTAAAATATGTACACATCAACTTTTTGAAGGGAAAAAGGAGTACAAGAGCAAATTGGTGAAGTTGGACCTTATATGCATTTAGACCACATATCTTTGGCCTATTATCAAAAGCATTGCGCATGCACCTTTTGTGTTCTTGGGGCCCATGTCTATGTCTATGTGACTACGACCCGTGGAATCATATAGTGGGACAAGTGGCCCTTTGATTCATTTTTTGGTGGCCATGAACATATTCAAAGGGCACCAAGTCTTTTTAGATATTTTGTTTTTTATTCGTACTTTGTTTCTTGTTAGACCAAATGTAGACATCCTAATAGAATGGACCTATATTCTAATACCCCTTTGATAGTCCCAAGGGCGCAAAAAAGCATAGGTGAATGAGACATTTCCCTTGTCAAATAGAAGAAAAGGGCACAACCTATAATCCATTCACACATTCCTTAGCCTTTAATTTATTCCAAAGGTTCTTCTTAGGGTTGTATCTTGCTTTTTTAGTGCTGATGTTCACATTTTAGATGTCAAAAAGTGAATATGTCAAGTGCGTTTGTGGG